TGGACTTAAACAGAAGATGGCTCACAGTAAGGTTTGATTAATGTGCTCCAGATGCAACTCTCATTCAACATTCAAATTTCCTGTGGACTTAGAAACACAGGTCGCGAGACATACTGTCAAACCCTAGCTCTACCACCAAATGATCGCTCAAACATATCACTAGTGTCTGGTGTCGTTTGCGACTCACATAATCGCAAGCATCCACAAACTTACATACCAACTTTACCTACCAATATGGCAGCAGGGCAATTGAGAAGAATCTAATCGAGAGACTCCAAACGTTCAAGTATAAAGAAAAATATGCAAAGTATTTTCACAAATCTCAGAAAGGTCACCTCAGGTAAGAAGCCTGGAAAAACAAATCATAAGGGATTGTCATTTCCTGGGTAGCTTCGCACAAGGGGATTAGCAAGCGAAAAGTCGGAAACGAAGGTCAAAAGTGTGCAAACGGGGAAAATCGACTTAATGCTCGAATGAAGTGCAATTTACAGGACAGCTTCGCGGGTATGGTCATATAATTTCCACTGGCGGTAAAAAACAGTAATAGGTAGAGGTGGAACAGCGAAACCAAGTTTCACCTGCATAGATTCACATCTTCTATCAGCAACCAATGCCCGTCCAGGTACGCACGTACAAACAAGCTGTCGATCCACTCGAATCGCATTGCAGATCGGGCAGCATGAGCCAGCACTTCACGACACTCATCAACCACACTACTGTTGCTTTCCTTCATGTCAACGAGTTCAATCTCAGCTATCATCTCCAACTGTGTCACATCGTCAGCATCGTTTAATTTCTTCAGTACACCTTCGTCAACGTGTTGCTCCAAGAGGCTACACAAAGTTGTTTTAGCATCGTTAAGAGCAGAATTATCGACCACCTGAATTACAGAGATTAGTTAGAGAAAGAGAAGTGCATGTATAATCATTTGCTATACCTGCTCATATGAACCGATGAGTTCCTGTGCATCCGTCTCGGGAGTGAGCAGAATGGTATGAAGCTCAACACCGCAAATTTGTGCTAGACATTCTAGAGCCGAACGCTTGCCACAATTTCTGAAACAACAGTTGGAAAACTAGGAACTTTTCACGTGCCTCTAGAATTGGAGCTGTGAAGAAGGTGATAGTGAGTGAAAACTATGCCTGTATCAGGTTTATGTTGCTTACCTGGGCCCAATAATCAAGGGCATCCATTTCATATCTATGCACACAGACAATTGATGTATCAAAGTGCTCTGACTGGCTAGCATTCGCCACGTACTTTTCTCATCAATGCATCGTTTCCGAGGAAGAAGCACCTGAATTCGTACAGAAGATTAGGAATGATGTGAATTGCAAAACGTAAGCCATTACATCAAAAACAGATTAGAAAGGGAATGACCAAAGAACTACATCGGAGCGCCGGAAATCTTCGAAAGGCACCGACCTGTCCAATTTGAAATTGTTTATCGTCGGCGGAAAGCACTATCGGTCGAGTAACAACGGGTTCATTGAAGTAATCCGAGTAGAGACGTCGCAACTGAATTCAGTTTAAAATTTGCTTCAATCAAAGTAGTGAAAACCTGAACGCTGAAAGAGTGGTGAGAATCAGGACAACATGACAACTTATGGTTGTGCTTACAGTGAAAATCCCTTTTACAAAGAAGGGTACCATTAAACATATTTCAGTGTATTCTAGCGG